CTAAAGGAGATCAACCCTGAATACTCACTGGAAGACTGATGCTACAGCTGAAGATCAAATACTTCAACCACCTGATGTGAAGAGCCGACTCACTGGAAAAGACCCTGATGCCAGGGAAGACTGAAGGCAGAAGAAGAGGAGGCTGACAGAGGATGAGATGGTTGGATGGCATCACTGATTCAATGGACATGAACTTGAGCAAACTCTGGGAGATGGTGAGGGACAAGGAGGCCTGGTGTGCGGCCATCCCTAGGCTCACAAAGAGTCAGACACAACTAAGTGACTGAACAACAACAACAAAAAACCAAGCCTATCCTGAGTGATACAAGTCCCATGACTATGATATTTAATAGTTAATAATAACTTTAGGGGCTTCCCTGGTAGCTCAACTGCCAGAGCTACTGGTGAAGGACAGGGAAGCCTGGCGTGTGGCAGTCCATGGGATTGCAAAGAGTCAGACACAGCTTACCAACTGAACAACTTTAACATGGGCTTCCCTGGTGCTCAGCGGAAAAGAATCCGATTGTAATGCAGGAAACCGCCTTCAGTGCAGGGGATGCAGGTTTGATCCCTGGGTTGGGAAAATGCCCCAGAGGAGGGCATTGCAACCCACATCAGTACTCATGCCTAGAGAATCCCATGGACAGAGGAGCCTGGTGGGCCACAGTCCATGAAGTCACAAGAGCTGGACACGACTTAGCAACTAAACCACCACTACCAACTTTAACATACAACTATTGTGGCCTGACTTGGCTACGAAGGAATACATATTTCATTGACTCAGAAAACTATTTTAATGCAATGGGCTGGATTGGTACCTGAAGGCATGAATATATCTCCATCAAGTGCACTGGGATCCCTGAGCATTTATAACTAAACACATACACAGCATACTGCGGTAAAAGAAATGCATTGGTGAAGACAAATCTTTTATCCAGAAAACTATAAAATGTGTAAATTTAATTGATTTTTTAAAAGTTCAAACTGGGGTTAAGATGACATTTTACTTCTAGGGAAACAGAAATTTAGGCTAGAAAGGTACTCATCTGATGAATTTTAAAAGGCTACAAAGTGTTTTAATATGTCCTTGAATACTGTCCAGGACTGTGGATTCTACAGTGAATCATTTAACGGGTCTAAGGCTTAGAGCAACAAGGTGCATGTAACTCAACCCACCTGGGGATGTGTGTCTGCATATTAATACATGCCTTAATGGTTCGGGCAGGCAAGTGTTCCATATTAATACATGCCTCAATGGTCCAGGCAGACAAGTGTTCCATTGGTGAAGTGACCCAATCAAAGAAAAGACTTTGATGGGGTACATTTTTCTAGCTCAATTGAGAATCAAGCTCTCTAGAAACTTTACCCACAGAGTATCAAAGCAGGAATCCCAAGCTATTACACTCAGGTGTGGCCAGTGAAAGCTTGGTCTTGTAAGAAGAGTTCATCACCGGCCTCTGTTGGGCATTGAGGTCCTGAATCCTGACTCATTCTGCCCTTGAGAATCAGACAGATCCTCAGATCCAGTGGGGGGAGGGGGGCGACACAGACTAGAGGGGATTAAACTAGAGTTAGAACCTGACCAGGGCTTCTCAGGTGGCTCAATGGTAAAAATCTGCCCACCAATTCAGGAGACGCAAGTTCGATCCCTGCATCAGGAAGATCTCCTGGAGAAGGAAATGGCAACCCACTCCAGTATTCTTGCTGGAGAATTCCAAGGACAGAGGAGCCTGGTGGGCTTCAGTCCATGGGGTCGCAGAGTCAGACATGACTGAGCACTCATGCATGCAGAACCCAACTAGCCAATTAAAAACTAAAGGACCACACAGACTAGACTAGCGGCCAAGGCCCTGAGTTGTGAGATTCCTAAGCAAGACTGGAAATGTCAGATCCACTCCTGACCATGGGGAACAGAACCAACGATCTGGTGAAGAACCAGCCAGTGTATGTGTATAAGCCAGTCATCACTGGGTCAGGTCCACCCAGAGGGTACCTTTAATTACAAGCTCATCTATTTGCAAACAGGGTTGCACTGGGTACCCTACTGATAGATTTCACAGGCGCGAAGCCCACTGCTGGTGAAGGTCAGGCCCAGATTGACAGGGATGGGAGACCAGGAGAAGGGCTGTAGGCGGCCCACTCAGAGGGGAAGCCCACTCTCACCGGGTGTGCCTGACACAGGAGAGGCAGGACTGCTCGTGCTCTGTCTCTGGTCACGTAACTCCAGAAGGCTCCTCCAACTCCTCAGGGCTGCGCTTCCTCTCACTAAACTTGAGCCTGGCACACCAGCACGCTGAGGGCTGGTGGTGCTCTGGATGGCTCTCTCTTGTCTTAAATAAGTTCAGTGCAACCATAAGGCTTGAGGAGAGATGAGGTGGGGAGGGGGTGTCCCTTGGGGCTGCGGAGAAAGCATTCAGCAAGTGTGGCCCCAAAGATGTCCCTCCCCATCCTCATCCCAGAGTCCAGGAACATCTCACCTTACATGGCGAAAGGGACTCCGCAGAACTTGAGAGAGATGATCATAGATTTTGGGGGGTGGGGTGGGGCTGTGATCACAGGGAGTCAGAGGAGTCAGAGAAGGAGATCTATGTTAATAGAAGCAGAGACACCAGAGCGATGAGATTGTGGCCTTGAAGACAGAAGCAGGCCACAAGCTAATGGATGTGGGGGCCTCTAGAAGTGGCAAACAGCAAGGAGTGGCCTCTCCCCTGGAGCCTCCAGGAGGAATACGGCCCCTGCCCAGGCCTGAATCGTAGCCCATTGAGGCTGGCTTTAGATAATTCACTGCAATTGTTTTAGAACACTAAACGTGTGGGAAACTGTTGCAGCAGGCCATGTGCATGGGTGTGTGTTCAGTCACTCAGTCGTGCCCAACTCTTGCGGCCCCCAAGGACTGCAGCCCACCAGGCTCCTCTGTCTGGGGATTTCCCAGGCAAGAACTCTGGACTGGGTGGTTGCCATTTCCTCCTCCAGGGAATCTTCCGGACCCAGGGATCGAACCTGCATCTCCTGCATTGGCAGGTGGGTTCTTTACCACTGCGCCACGGGAAGCCACCTTACAGCAGCCACAGGAAGCGAAAACACACTGGAAGACAGACATGCCCGCAGTCCAGCCTTGTACTAATTCCCTCAGGGAGACGCAAACAGGCCACGTTCCCTGAAGATGTCATGCAAGGGCTGCGCCAGGGTAATGCTCTCTGCAGATGAGAACATCTTACAGTGATAATACGTTGGTTACATAGAATTTCATTTTATGACACTTAAAGATATTCTGGATGGGTCCTAAGATTTGTATGAGCCGGCAAGTCATGAGATTAAATCAGTAATATAGTCCCCTCCCCCATTTTCATAAGAAGTATTGTACTCCTTGCTGTGAACAAGTGTAGAATTTCTCAGTCTTCTGTATTTTATGGGCTCAACTCTATTTTTCTTCAACAGAAGAAAAGGAACAACAGATTTATTCTGGGTCTGAGACAAACCTGCTTTATAACTCTTTAAATTATGTTCCAGCAGACCCTGATGTGATCAGACTTCTAATTTGGTTTAAACACAGAAACCTCTGAACATGTAAACACAACGGTCAGTAAGTTTTCTCTACGGAATTGGCAAGTGTGGGTAGTGGGTTACAGAAACTCTTGCTCTGGTTTTTCTATGAGAAAGACCATAGGATATCCTAGGAAATTCAAGGCCAGAGGGACCTGCAACAGGCTTCATCCATGTGACAGTGCTGTGGTTCCCACACTCCCTGGGGTCAGCACCCCTGCGGGGTCCCGGCCCCAGAATCCGTCTTCCAGTGGGTGCAGGGCGGAGCCTGAGAACCTGCGTTCTCACAAGCTCCAGGTGAGGCCGATGCTGTGGATAGGGGGTCACACTCTGAAAACCACCTCCCATCCAAGGCCCAATTTCTCCCAGGTCCTAAGGAGGGTCCATGTTATCTCATCTGATTCAACTGCCCCTGCCAAGCTAGTTCATATGGTGCAACTGATGAAGGGTCTCCATCTTCTACTTGACCAGAAGCCAGGAGCTCTCCGGCTTGTCTGTATCCTGGAATCACACTGAAACCCCTCCACGCACAGGCCTCACTCCAGGCCAATCAGCCCAGGATAGGGGGTGAGGGGTGGGCAGGTCGCAGGGTTTTGATAGCTTCCCAAGTGATCCAAAACCCAGCCAAGATGGAGAATGGCTGCAAACGTGATGGATGACAAAAATGATGCCAACCGACTGAAGCAGACAACACAGCGGGGCCCTATGCCAAGCGCGGCAGTCATCTTTGGTGCCACTTACAGTGTGACACTGACTGGGGCTCCGTAATGCTGGCTGGATGACTGCATGGATGCTAACCGACCAGAGAGGAGGGCTAGTGCCTCCCTTCTCCCAGGTACAAGGATGAACATACGGAAACACACTAGTTCGTTATCAGTGACCAACCCTCATGGGGCAGCAACCCTGTAATAAAACAAGCTCTTCTGAGAAAGCCTTCCCTGGGAAATAACTCCATACTCTTTAAGTCCAAATAAATATCATGACAACCATGGATGAGAACTATAAGACTTTTTTTTTGGTCCAGAACAGGAGCTGGCAAACTATGTCCCATAGGCGAGATCCAGCTGCCACCTCTTCTAATAAATAAAAGTTTTCCTGGCACACAGGCATGCTCACACGCGCACACACTGTCTGCACACACTGGCGGAGCTGGGTATTTTGGCTGAAGTGGTAGGGGCTGTGAAGCCAGGACACTTACTCTCTGGCCTTTTAGCAGAACAGGTGTGGCAGTCCCACTCTGGAGAAATCAGAGGATGGACACGCAGACAAGACGTAACGTGACAGTCTTTTGGGGGAATGAATGGTGGGTGGCCGTTTACTTCATTCCCATCTTTTTTCTCATATCAGCCAACTTTTTGAGTTATATAAAGGAGCCCAGATGTTTAAATCACTGGCAGGAGGAGAAGACAGAGGCGCCAGTCGGAGAGCTGCCCAGCCCACAGCGCGATGGCACCTACCTTGTTTCCAATGGCCTTCTTGGGTGGGAAGTTGAAGGCCCTCACTTGAGGGTATTTGTTCTGTAACTTGTGGTGCAAACTCCTGAACTCTGCATACCGCCGATAGACATTCCACTCATCGTCTTTTATCCGGATGTAGACCTTTGGAGAAAAAGAAAAGAGAAAGAAAATTCAAGTCTCCTAAAACTCTCATTCCATCTTGGATGCTTCCATGTCCTGGCTATTGTAAACAGTGCCGCAAAGAACACTGGGGGTCATGTGTCTTTTAGAAATTGTGGTTTTCTCACAGTATGTGCCCAGCAGTGGAGTTGCTGGGCATATGGTAGGCTTACTACTCAGCCATAAAAAATGAATTTGAGTCAGTTCGAGTGGGGTGGATGAACCTAGAGCCTATTATACAGGGTGAAGTAAGTCAGAAAGAGAGTAACAAATATCGTATATTAATGCATATATGTGGAATCTAGAAAAATGGTGTTGATGAACTTATATACTCTCATGTGTAAAATGGACAACTGATGAGAAGTTGCTATATCGCAGAGGGAGCCCAGCTGGTGCTCTGTGATGAACTAGAGGGGTGGGATAGGGGAGTGCAGGGAGGCTCGAGATGGAGGGGATATTTGTATAATTACGGCTGATTTGCACTGTTGTATGGCAGAAACCAACACAACATGGTAAAAATTTAAAAAATTAAAAAGTGAAAAAAAATTCTCATTACAAAGGGGGTGGGGCTCTGGCAACACCTCCCGCCAGGAAAACCAACTCTGATAGCAGGGCCACACCTGCCCCCTGGGTCACTGGAGGCCCAGTGCTGGGCGTGGAGGAGGGACTCAGTGTACCACATGCGTAAATGGGCACATGAGAGAATGGCACCATCTGGCAGGCTGTGTACTGATGAACATCAGTTCCCAGTATCAGTGGAGACCGACAGCCCAATTCATCTCAGAGATGCATTTTCCATGCTTTTGTCACAAGCATGCTGTCACAGTGACAGATGGCGGGGGAGAGGCCATTCATCCTCGCTGGCTTGTGCTTCTTCATCTGTTAATGGAGCTGACTAACAGCGCCTCCTCCCAAGGTGGTGGGGAGAACAGTCAGGCTTATACGCCGTGCAGCTGTGCCTGGGTCACACAGACCAGCACGCCGGTGGGGAGGGGCGGGTGGTTTGAAACCGATCCCAGGAAGGAGGAGGGAGGGAGGGGGCAAGAGCCGAGATCAGCACAGCCAGATGGAAGGTCACATCAGGATGGGATGCACACACCTGGGGCATCAAACTTCTTCATTTTAATCAAGATGTGATCCTCAAGCTAACATTCAAGGGGTTTAAAATGTAAGGGCTATTTCACCTGCCTTTTTAAAAAATTTTTACAGGCCCCCACACCTTCCAGGAACACTACCTCAGAAAGCAAAACAGAGAAGTGGGAGAGAGCTCAAAGAATTTTTAAAAAATTGTGTGAGTTAATAAGAACAGCCCAGGGCTTTTCTGGTGGTTCAGTGGTAAAGGATCCGCCGGCCAATGCAGGAGGCATGGGTTTGATCCCTGGTCTGGGAGGATGCCACGTGCTGTGGAGCGACTAAGCCCGTGGGCCACAACTACTGAAGCCCACGCCCTAGAGCCCGTGCTCCACAATAAGAGAAGCCTGTGTACTGCAGTGAAGACCCACAGCAGCCAAAAAGAAATAAAATTAAAACAAAAAAGAAAAGAGCAGCCCAGAGCATGAAGTCTCCACTGATAAATAGCTATTGTAATCTGCAGTCAGCGAATGTCAATGCACATCTTAAAATCTCTTTCACCATAAAAGCAGGCACCTCTACAGTGACTGATAAATTCTGCCTCTCTCTAAAGAGTACCCTGCATCCCCAGATGCGGACCTCATATATCTGAGCTCTGGGAAGGCGACCACCAATATTCTGGCCAACAAGGTGAAGGAAGGAGGATTTAAACTCAAAGAATGCCAATCAATGGATGGAAGTTTCCAGCAGACTTAGATGGAGCAACCTCCGTTGCTCCTATTGAGTCTGACAGAAGCCCCCAAGTGAAGAGAGACTGTAAATATCCTGGATGACAGATATCAAGTGATCTCAAGAGGCTTGAGGGATGAGTCTAACACAACATGATGAAACTTTAAAAGATCAGTGCCAGACTTTGCAATACAACCCCAAAAGCCAACACTGTAAGATAAGATGGGGGAGATACAGTACAGCAATGGCCTGTGGGATAAAGTCTCATGGGTTTTAGTAAATTTAAGTTAAGTGAATACTGTTAAAGGGTCACCAAAAAAAAGGCCTATGTATTATTTGCTCAGTCGTGTCTGATTCTCTGCAACCCCCTGGACTACAGCCCACCAGGCTCTTCTGTCCATGGGATTTCCTGGGCAACAATACTGGAGTGGGTTGCCATTTCCTTCTCCAACTATTTGGATCTCATTAAAAGGTATCTGATATATTTTAAATAAAAGGAGTTGATGAGTCTTGCTCTATTTTAAATCGACCATGCCAACTTAGGTTTTGGCTGCTGCCTGTTAAAAGATGAATTGAAATAGGTTCAGAAATGCCCAGAAAATTTGCTACTCCAAATGTGGTCCGCGAACCAGGAGCATCAGTATCACGTGATAAGATGGCAGAAATGCAACGTATCAGGCTCCACCCCAGATATACTGACTCAGAATCTGTGTCTTAACCAGAACCCAACTAGTTCACACACACTTTAAAGTTTAGAAGCACAGGTCCTCAGAGATGATCTGCAGCCAAATTATCAGAGGAAGATGGAAGACGCTGGAGGATGATAAACCGAGCCTAAAGATGCAGGAGGTACGGATCTCTGAAGACTGCAACGAGGAAAAGCAAAGACCAAGATGATGTGTTCTGGATGATTCCAGGAGGCAAACTTCCAGCAGACAGAAACTAGAGAAAGACAAGTTTCATTAGGAAAGAACTTTATAGCAGCCAAAGTTACCTAAAGAGGAAAAGATGTGTCTCAAGAGCTTTTTTGGCACTAGGTGCCCAAGCAGTGGTACAATAGACAGACGGTTATCACAATTATGCAAGGATTTGCTTTGTAACAGTGAAGGATAATTAGACCCCAGAAGCATCTGGAAAGGCTTGGCTAGCTGTGGAACGGAGACTTCAGGAATTAAGTCTCCACGAACTGAGACAAGATGGATCAGTCGGCAAATAAACCCAGGAGCTCACAGGACTTGTAGGGCATTCTTTGGGTCCTCCCAAGTCACAGTAAATGCAAGCTGCCCAATCAGTATCCATTTCCTTCCAATACTTCTAGCAGAAGCAATGTGTTCAGGGGGGAAAAAATTTAACTACATTTTCCGGTGCTCCTGGCCAGACTCATTAGAAAAGACCCTGATGCTGGGAAAGATTGAGGGCAAGCAGAGAATCAGGCAACAGAGAATGAGATGGTCGGATGGCATCGCTGACTCAATGGCCATGAGTCTGAGCAGACTCAGGGAGATAGTGAAGGACAGGGAAGCCTCATGTGTGGCAGTTCATGGGGTCGCAAAGAGTCAGACACAACTTAGCAACTGAACAACAGGGAGATGAAAGAAAGCTCTTAGAAGAGATCTGACCCAGCTGGTAAGTGCCTTTTTATTCTTCTCCCTGTCTTCCTCTTTCTCAAACACAGATGTGAAGACTGGAGTCCAGCAGTCATTTTATGATCATGAGGTGATCAGGAGAATGGATATAGAAAAGTGGAAGGACCTTGGGTCTCTGATGAAATTATGGGGCAACCACACCAAATACTAGATAATCTATTCAAAACTTTTTTTTTTTAAAGAGAAATATTCACCTATAAACTGTTCAAGCTAAGGTTTTAGAGGTCTGCAGACTCATGGCTGAATGCCATTCTTCTCTGATACATCTTGAATGGACTGTACCTACTTGTACTATATTTTTATACAAGTCCAAATATCCCCTTAAGAGTGGCAAATTTAATTGCTTATCTGATCATCAAGTACAAAACAAATTATCTAGGTCAGGGGAGGTAAACTGTGGTTCTGTGGGTCAAATCCAGACACATCTATTTGTTGCTGTTGTTCAGTCACTAAATTGTGTCTGACTCTTAGCGAGCCCACAGACTGCAGCATGCCAGGCTTCCCTGTCCTCCAATATCTCCTGGAGTTTGCTCAAATTCACAGTCACTGAGTTGGTAATGCTATTTGCTTACCTATTGTTTATAGCTGCTTACAATGGCAGAGTTGAGTGGCTGCAACAAAGATCACATGGCCTGCAAAGCTAAAAATACGTACTCTCTGCATGCGTGCATGCTAAGTCACTTCAGTTGTGTCCAATTCTGTGTGGCCCTATGGATTCTGCTGTGCTCCTCTGTCCATGGGATTCTCCAGGCAAGGATACTGGAGTGGGTTGCTTTACCCTCCTCCAGGGGATCTTCCCAACCCAGGGATCAAACCCGTATCTTTTACGTCTTCTGAAATTGGCAGGCGGGTTCTTAACCACCAGCACCATCTGGGAAGCCATTTACTTTCTGGTCCTTTACAAAATAACTTCTCTGGTCCCTGATTTAGATACTCAGAAAGTCCTCATTATTGTTGTTTTTCAACAAAGATATCCAAATCTAGTGCAGAGAAGGGCAGTGCTTTCCAATAATTACCAGCCCTGGGGTGGACCACACGGAAACCATCTGGGACCCAGGAATTCCTGGAGTTCCAAAGCCTTCCGGTGATTCTGACAAGTGGGAGATGTTAGAGCCTGAGTGTGCCCCTCCCCCAAAATACACATGCTGAAGTCCAAACCAGCAATGTAGGACTGGGGCAGGGGATGATTAGGTCATGAGGGTGGAGCCCTCATGAAAAGCATTAGTGCCCTTATAAAAGAGACCCCAGAGCTCCTTCATGCCTTCCGTCATGCAAAGACAGTGAGAGGAGAGCTGTCTGGAGCCTTGATTTTGGACTTCCCAGCCTCTAGAACTGTGAAGAAGAATTTGTTGTTGAAATCACCCCATTGGTAGTTGTTACAGCAGCCCAAGTGGACCATTAACACCCCAAGTGGACTAAGAAAATGGGCAATTAGGGGAACCTCTGAGGTAAAGCACAGAGTATCCCTCCTCTCTGACTACATGTTTCCTCATCTATAAAATGGAGCCGAGACCTTACTGACAGAGCCTGTCCCCA